GGTAGGGGGGGTATGGGGAGGATATGAGGGGCAGGGGGGGAAATATTTGGGAGTTATGGTGGTTTTGCTTGCTTTTTCTTTTCTGTGAGGTGCCGACCAGCTGCCGACTGGTAGGTGCCGACAGGTGGACCGGTTGGCACCTTCGAGGCCTATTTTCACTTTTTCTATTGGACCTTGAACTTCCGGAACTCTCTTTTCAATCCCTTGCTGGATCTTTGGCACTAAAGTGCCGACCTGCAGGCTCCTTGCATAACTACATTCTTCCACCAAAATGGATGCCGAACAGAGAGAATACGGACGGAAGCGATGCTGCAAACCCGGTACGACCGGGGGGCCCTCCCCCAACCGGAACCGGACCAGTCCTACCGGCCAGTCGACTGGGCCGGTACCCCCCTGGTTGGCAGTAGCGCATCATTTTTTTTTTCTTTTGAGCCCGGGGTGTTGTAGAGGTCAAGGACTAGACCCACAGTAATCGCTGGCAGCGCAGCCGGTGGTCATCCTGACAGGAGAGCCCACCTTCCCTACCCTTCCCCACGTTAATGTTCCCAGCGCACCCCCTATCCCTACTATCCTACCTCAGTGTGACCAGCGCTCAGGACCATCACCCTACCAGTACCAAGGGCAACTTGGACCAGACAGCAGTCACATGCACCCCCTAACACTGTCACCCCCATCCCCCTTTTCCAAAGTTTTTTGGTTGGAACTTGGAAGTGCCATCCCTACCCTGCCACTAACACCCCCAGCCCCCTTTTCAAAGTTTTTGGGTGGAAGGTTAACGTTTGCAGAAAGCCAGGTACGTCTTTGTCAATGTCTGCTGAAGCCCGTGCTTGCTCAAACCCCACCACTAACACCCTCACCATAAACCCCCGACCCTTAACCCCTGAAATACCCCCCCCCCCACCCCCCCCCCCCCCCCCCCCCCCCCCCCTTCCACGAAACTTCTCTGTTCAAAGTTTTCTTTGCGGATTCGCGGAGATCTTGGCGATCGTAGTCCAACCATGTTTTCAAAAAAAAAAGAAAAGAAAAAAAAAGAAAGACCCACTTTTCGGCCCAACCAGAATTCCAGTTGGACCACCAGAGGTCCAACCGACCGGTTGCCGGCACAGCCCTGGACGGAAGGACATTCCTCTAGGTAAGGTCTCCTGCAGTTCAACAGGACTTGCCTCAGCCTATCAGTCAAGCATTAAACCGCCGCCCCAAATCATTCCAATAAGAGGAGAAATGAAGAAAAGAAGAGGGGGTTAGATGACTGAGAGTCTTAGACACTAAAGGGGGAAAACGAAGGAAGGAGATGCATGGACAGTGGGAGCGAAAGACGGTTGCTAAGGAGAAATGCGTTTTCATGTGCTCTGTCAAAATATGGGCCTGTGTCTGACCGAAACATGGGACATGACAGACCACTTCACTGCATTTCACCTGAATCATGTGCTCTTCGCCAACCAAGGACACCATCCCAAGGGTAGTAATATATGTAGCTGATGTGGAACTGCCTCTGTGCGTTGTTTGTTGTGTGTTATGTGTTTGTATATCGCAGAGGTAAAAGAGTCGATGTCACCCTCAACCAACCCACCTCCATGAGCGCCGAGTACGCATTCGTGTAATACTTCACGGCCGCCATCCAATCCCTGCGGAATTCGCAATAAACTGCAACCTGAATCAAGTAGAAGCAAGACAAAAAGAATTACAAAGACACCGAAAGACAAGCAGCCCACTTTCAGATTTCCTCTAGCAAAGAACATCAAAGTTATTCACCTTATCGACAAAAGATTCGACGAATGAATGACCTTATCTGTTCAGAAGATCTGAGGATCGAACCCCCAGAAGATTTTCTAGAGTTGAATCACAGACTGTGCAAAAGGTCTGATGGATACCAGACAGTAGAGAACAGCCAAATCAATAACCAAGCTGCTTACAGAAGCTCAAAGGTCTTGTTTCCCTCCCTTTAGCCAGCAAATCCCACACTAAGTTCAAGACAAGCAGCATGCACCCGCAACCACGCTTTTAATTGGGTTGACTTACTGTCCACACCCCCCCCCCACCCCAGCCCTTGCTTCCTGGAATAGGTCAAAGGGGACTGAGCAGAACCTTGCAGCCCCATGTCCATTTGCTACAACAAAAGAAAAAGAACAGCCCTCGGAGCTTGTTTCCCCCCGCGCCCATTTCCTACAAGGGTTCCCTTCACCCTTGCTCTTACCACCCCTGCTGGGGTGGGAACCTAGGTACTACTCCCTGCATAGAGTAGAGTAGATAGACATAGCCTGCCTTTCTTCGGTGCTTAGACACGGAGATTTGAAATCTGTTGGGCCTGTTCTACTCTCAGATATGTGGGTAGATAGCGCGAGGTATGTAGAAAGCTAGTGTGCAGTGAAAATTTTGAGAGAAGAGGTGGGAAACAAGGGTGATACCAAAGTGTGCGGAAGGACTACACCCACCTTCTCAGCCACCTGCCACAAGGAGAGTTGAAGCGAGAAAGCCTGGGGCAACCAACATGGCAACCTGGTTCCCATAAGCCTGGAACCCTGGAGCCACTGGTCATAACCCCACTCATTAACCTTGCCCCCCCCTTCTCCACCCTAAAGAACATCGGAGGCCAGCTCTTCTTTTTCCGTCCCAGTCTCATGGCCCTTTGCTCCAGCCGAGAAAAAAACAGGATCTCCAATTCGCCCTCCACAGTCTGTCAGGGACGGTCTACTGGCCATCCCTTTTTTTCCTCCTCATCTCCATGTTGCATTTGTCAGCGCAACCACGGGGAGGACCTACTGGTCCTCCAGCTTTTGTTCTCTGACTGTGCAACCAGTTTTCTTCTCCAGCCCAGGTCCCGATGCAGCATAGCCACCTGTGTGGCCGCAGTCCTCCCACGCCATCCTTTCAACCCACCAGATGGCTAGGATCACCAATTAATGCTCTCGAAGTGATCGACATGCACTCCCTTGTGTCCATTACTGCAGAAACACACAGTACTACTGGCCAATTGATTTTGCAGTCTGCGATTTGCAATTTCCATTATGTGTAGAAATCTGCAGGATAGGATTTGTGCTCCTGACACGACCTTTTTTATTTCGGGGGGGGGGGGGGTGACATCCTTGCACAAGGGCTATGCTAATCTTCTGTGTATCGTTAGAATTTTAACGGACGTTCTGAAGGACACCTAACATGACCTTTACATCATTTAACAGCCTCGTTTTTTTTGTTACAACCATAATCATTAAAAAGCATACTTGCGGCGCATTAGTGCGGTGCGCGATGCGGTGTGCTGCGCCGTGCGGAATGCGCGAGGTGACACCGCGCGCGCATGTGCGCGCACACTCGCACAAGGTGCACCGTGCGCGCAGCGCATGGGGACGCGCTACCACAGCAAGGTGCGCAATGCCTATTTTCGGTGTGTGTGTGTGCTGTCTCTTATACACATCTAGATGTGTATAAGAGACAGTATCAGGAGTCGCAGAATCCCACCAAATGAGAAG